ACATACATACATACATACATACATACATACATACATACATTTTAGGTTGGGTTCAAGCTGTTATTCAGGTTGTTAAATTCAGGTTGTTATGCTGTGATATTCTCGGAAGTTTTCTCTTTCTTTAACCGTAGGCGACTACGTTTTTATGAATTCGGAATAGGTTCATCTGGTTGGAGCAGCTCAACTCCGAAATCAGATATACTGCCCAAGACTGAACAGTCAGGCGACACATTGAGCCCTCTTACGCTTTGATTTTCTTTGAAATGGGTCATACTTTCATTCCACCGTACGATACTGTGTACGATGATAAGGCTTCTCACTACCACTGGAATAATTTCATTTGTTCAGCACGACCATGGATCTCTTGAAGTAAATTGTATTAGTAGGGAAATCCCTCTCTGGTCGCTTAAATTTCTACTTTTCTTATCTCATTCAATTGATAGTGGAATTGGAACTGATTCACTATCAATTAGTGTTGCTTCGAAGCTAGTTGCGAGGTAGCCCTAGTGGGATAAGTATCACACCATTGTTCCCACAACCCACCAGATGAGCCGATTGTATTACGCCAGATTGAATAGATCGGGGGAGCGAGGGAAAGGCAGGTGCAGGCGGAGAGATAGCGGGTGTGTTAGAGTCAACAACTCGAGTCACCAACTGTTTATTTATTACAGGACAATTCCGTTTTCGTGTTACAAGTATGCGCTTCTGACATTACACAGCTTAGTGTCAGATAAAGTACATGGCCCTCAGTGTGCCCAACAAGCGAGACAGATGGACACCATGCAGGTGAGATGTCAATTCCATCTCTTTCACGTTGTACTCGTTTAATGAAGACAGTTCAGGTGGTATCAGGATGGTTGCAGCACGAGAAAAGCGAAAAGCTTTTGCCAGTAATCGTGGATCTCGTTCGTATTCTCTGCGACAAAAACTACGAACAAAAGGTCAATCGGCTTCGTTTGAGTAAATTTAATGATATATGTAGACATAGTAGAGATGTGCGAGTGGGCTTCATGATTTAACACACGCAGATGCACTGATGCCCACATTGTTGCTTGGAGTGTCAGCAATCAATTCATTAGAGATTTATACAAGGTTGGCGAGTTATAAACAAAACTTCACCGTACCTTTGTTATCTGGGCAACGTGCCTTATCCCTTACAGTATCAAAACCTTAATTGTTTTATTCTCCTTGACAGATTATATGCCACCAGTCGGATCGTCCGGCCGACGCCGGGCGCTCCTTCTATTCAGGTAAAAATGCCCTGTCGCCTACATTCCTCCCTCCAATCTTGGATGGATGCTCTGGTTGGTGCAGTAGAAGAAATGGTTAGAATTTTGGGCATTAGCACACGTACAAACACACCCGGCACATTTCGTGAGCGTCTTGCCCGTCATGAGCAGAGTTCTGTCCAACTCATGTGTGTTCAAGTGAATTGGTTCATGCTCCTTTCTTCTGAGCTTGACTGCGCAAATTCACTGAGATTACGCTCATTTCACGCACGCTCCATCCCCGCGGGCGAAAACATGTCCTGTCTTCTACCATGAGTTTTCCCAACCGGTCTCCTTTGCTCCTACCAAATTTGAGCGCTCTAGGCTCAAAAAACATTTTTCGTGTAAGCCCCGCTCCGGTGGACGGAGTCTTTTCATGCCACCTACCTTAAGTGTTTCCATCCTATCTCCTTACTCCTGCCAAATCTGTACACTCCAGGTCCGAGGGACCAGGTGTTGTGGATTTTGAAATTCCATGCAGGAGGATTCGAATTAGGAGACAGGTGACTCGGCAGGGATTTAGGAGATATTATGGGAGCACCTATGTCTCATGCTGTCTTCTAAATTCCTACCGAGTTTGAACGGCCTAGAGCCAAATCGAGTATTTTTGCGCAAACCTCGCCCGCTGCGAGCAGAGTCTAGCCCTGTCACCTATCATCAGTGTTCCCACAATGTCACCTATCCTCCTGCAAAATTTGAATGGCTATGTTATGGCTTACGGCTTTTCACTCGAATATTTTTTTCTCACAAATCACGCTCTGTAGGGGTAGTCCGGTCCTGCCACCCAGCTTACAAGTCTCCATCTTGCTGCCTGTACTATTATTAAAATTGAATGCTCTAGTTCTAGTGGGACAAGGGTTTTGAATTTTCGGTCGGACAAACACTCACATACACATACACACAGACACACCAACAGACACACTTAGCGGATTATATTAGTAAGATAGTTAAATATCGGTACAGAAGATGTATGTCCTACAAGATACCAAAAACAACTTCCATGTCCGCCTTTCTTGAAACCTGGGCTTCGGCACTAATATTATTCAATGCTTCTGTGCCACACAGGTTTTTTTGATGGTGGAATTTTTATTCGCCTGACGTTTCGACAAACTCGTTGTTTTCAAGGGCCTGAAAGCGTGTCGAAACTTTAGGGTGTTACCTATCACGCTTGACGTAGACCAGTTCTTAACTAGTTGCAGCTCAGA